TTTTTTTTATATTAAATCTGGTAAATGATATACCTTTTAATATAAGTATAGATATATTTTAATTAACTGTCACGTGGTGAGTATAATAATAATAATAATATATAATTTATTTAATCAACTGATTACGTGCATACTATAATAATAATAGTAATAAACAATGGATAGCACACGTTTTGAAAAGTTAAAAGCAATCAATCAATTCACATGAATTATAGGTGAGATTAATGAAAGGTGAGATAATATCCGTTCATTTATATAATCTAGTGTGAAAAGGACATAAAGAAAAAGTGTGAAAAGGACATAAAAGTTACTAATTTTAGTAAACATTTAATGCAGACAAGATGTTGACTAAGAATTGACCTACTAATTTTGAAAAAGGTTAATTCTTACTCCCTCCTATTCATAATAAGTGTCGTTTTGGGAAGTTGCACACTAATTAAGAATAATTTTTTTGTCAATAATAACCCTCATTAATGAAGATAGAGATTGATGTTTTAAAAAAAAAAAGATGAAGAGAATATGAAAAGACGTAGTGTATTTATTAACTAAATAAGGGTAATAATGGAAAAATATGTACAAAAGATCCAAAACGACATTTATTTTGGTTAATAGTTGATAAAGCCAAAATGACATTTAAAAAGAATAGGAGGTAGTATTATATAAATATAGATAATAAATTGAATTTTTCTGAATATGTAAATTGGTCCTGAAAACTAGGGTCTGTTATACTTATATCGATCTTAGTTGCTGTCAGACAGATTTTACTGTTAGTTAATCATTTTTTTTTCCAACAACACGAATTTTTATATGAGTTAGGTTAATCCTCAGACGAGTCAACTTGTCCTATTTTTCTTTTTTACAAAACCGAACAGTTATGTTATGATATGCCATAATTTTATTTGTGTTATTTTTAGAGTATAATGTTCTATTTTAAAAATATGTAAATGTGTTGAAAAAAATATAATTGCCTAAAAGTAGCTTTACCGAATACTAAATATGCATCATCTTATGATCAAATGTCATATTTTAGGAAAGACGAGCATGAATATAAATAACATTTCATATTACAATCATATATGTATTTCTATTTAAAAATTACTCACAAAGAATTTGTGTTCATTCCGTGTAAGGATGTTTTGTACAAGTGAATGTATTTGCTAAAAGTGTAGTCTTGAATAGAAGTTTCACTAATTTGACAGGAAGACCAATGAAATTGCCATTTGCCAAAAAGAAATTTGCTTTCTTCTATGGGTAATAATCTAAATATAAAATACAAATCATTGTAACATTACTAACGTATTTTATTTTGTCTAGAACAGAAGGAAACTAAATATAAAAGTGAACCAAATTATTCATTAAATACTTTATTTAAAAAAAAAGCAGGACAGGTGTGCACAAGCATCTTCTTTAAGGGTTCTATGCCCCTTTTTTTGTCTGCTTTTTACTCCTCAGCAAATGAGCAAATATCAAATGAATTATTTCTAACTCCATCACATGGCCAAAAAGGAAAAATAAAAAATTTAATACACTCCTCATATTTTTTTTTTATTTTTGGTCACTTTTTTTTTTCTTTGGGATTTTTAAATTTCTTGATCTGATGTCCATTTCAAAATTTAACCAAAAAATGGACCCAATAGCGTTGCCTGACCCCACCACCACGTGTCCCACCATCTGAAGGATAGATTTAACCTACTTGGCAGTCAATTAGTTGTCCCTGCATTGAATGCATATATGGAATGAAAGGTTAATAACTTAGAGCATCTTTAACAACTAAACTCTATAAACCTTCTTTTATACTTTTTAAAATATCACATCATCTAAAACCTCATCTTTACTCTTACACTCATAAACCTCCAATGACAATAAACCTCATAAATCTCCTTTTTATGGGTCTCACATGTTTCCACTTAATTTTTATTAATATTTTAAAACTATAACATTAACTTATTTTTATTTAATCTAAATGTTATATATATTGGTAACGCAAAACACTCCGACCGGCTTGAAATCGGTTTGCTTCCTTCTTCCTCGCCGATAGAACGCCGCATTCCTGCACAGAACTCTCACACCGGAGGGGTTTTCCGGTGAAGAGCTTCCGATGCTTAAGTCAGTATATGTTTGTTCAATTTTCCAAAGTAAAGAATGGATAAATCGTAAACCCTAAGAAAAGACCCACTCCCATATATATAAGAGTGAGATACCTGCCCTAAGAGCTGCCCGGATATTGGTGAGATGTCCTGCCCGCGCTGCCCGTCCGTACACACACAGTGTGCGTGTTGTCAGAAACGTCAGAGGTGTCAGAGGTAGTTGGTGCCACTGTCACTCTGCGCCAATACGTTCTCGCCACGTGTCCCCCTCTGAGCTAAGGGGAATTATTCCCTTGCGCAGGCCATTGGGATCTCCTGACATCACCCATGTGTTGGGATCTGTGAGGATCTCGTTATGTACAAATCACGAATTCAATAGCAAACGTAAACCTATGCGCAGCGGATCTAAAGGTTTGACGTAGAGAACTTACGGCTTAAAATTTATGTAGATCTGGTTGACCACGAACGGTTGACCGCAATTGATTGACCGCAACACGCCTCTTGGGTTGCACGAACAAGATCAGATCAAAACTGGATCAAACGGATGCAAACAGATCAAAACGAAAGTTTGCTGCCAGACACCTTCCGGCGGCGCGTGAGGGCGCGTGCGGCGTCGGATTCCGGCGACGTCGGCGGTGATGCAAAACTCTCGTCGAGACGGTCGTCTGGGTATACTGTACGTCTCAATCGGACTTCCGGTTAGTTCTGTAGGTCAAAATATATTTCGTCTCGGCTTACCTACAGATCTTCTACTGTATTACTCAATACACCCTTCTTCAACTTGTACCAGTGGAGCAACAAGAAGAAGATAAAGCTCGAATGAGATCTAGAGAGAGAAGCGTGTTTCACGTGAGAATGAGACTTCTGTTCACTTCTCATGAGCTTAATGATGTATATATAGAGCTACAGTAGGGACCCTAAGGAGATTAGGAAAAGGACTCCTTAATTAATTAGACTATCTGTGGGTCAAACCCACTCCTCTAATTAATTAGATAATATTAATGGGCCACCAACATTATATTATTGCACTCCCTTTCCCTAGCCCAAATTACATTTGAGACTCCAATAATAATTACTCGATTTACCTCCACACGTTTAAGATATAATGTCCATTAATTAATTCGATTACTGACAATCAAGAATTAATTAATTTATTATTATTTCACCGAAGCTAGCGCTCGTTCATCACATTC